TCGGCCAGTTGCAATGGTTGTCGTACCACTGCTCAATCGACGCAACTCTTTCCTTTCGATACGTGCTTCATTATTATTACTAGTGACACTAAGCTGTCGCCCTTTTTTCTGGTTTTAGTTTGTATATATTGTGACGGTTACTTCATAGGGTCATTACGTGTTGCTCTCATGCGACCGAATACATAAACCCAGAATAAACACGTCACTCGAGAGACCCAAACATCGTACGTCCTCCACGTGACCGTGCCTGGACGGCGGCGCAGGTTTCGGCATCAACCGCATCCGATCGTCAGCAGGCCGACGCGCGCATCTCCTTCACGAAGTAGAGAGAACGAGAGTCACGAAGTCGACGTTGAGCGACTGTCGCCATGCAAACAGAACTGTGGACCACGTGGTAAACCCTCAACGAAGGAGTAGTAAAAGTGCACGAACTCTTCTCTCTCTCGCTCTCCCGAAGGCCTGTCGCGGCTAGCAGACATCGACGTTGGCATTTAGGTCCTGGGCGTATTGCCTTCGGGGCCGTCCATAAATGACGTCACAGCGATTTTGGACGATTTTTGACCCACCCACCCCCACCTCGTTACACGGCGTCACAAAAAGTCAGACCCCCCCCCCCGCCCTTAAATATGACGTCACAAAGCTCTGCCAACCCCCCCCCCCCCCCAAAACCATATTTTCATTCTTAAAATAAAATATGCTTCAAATCGGTTTAAACTATTGCCATTGTAGTGCGCATTTAACGTGGCGCTGCACTCTGATGTTGTAGGAGAGTTGTTATAACAATTAGTGTTGTTATAACAATTCTATATTTATTTTAAGTTGCGCATTTTGATGTGACGTCACATTTCTCAACCCCCCCCCCAGGTGCGTGACGTCATTTATGGACGGCCCCATATGCAAGAATACAATTTAAGCAATTAAGCATTTGCTCACAACAAAAATGACACCTGAGAAGTATTAAAGTTGGGATTACGCGTCGCCGAAGGTTGGCAGGAACTTTTATTTTAAAAAAAATATTTGAGTGCAGGTTTCCTGGGTAGATGAGGTTTATAGTAATAATATAAATAACCACAGCTTTACAGTGTTCATTATCATTGTGACGAAATATTTTCTGTCATCGGTGGACAGACTCACTACACTTAAGAACGGGTGGCTGAAACCTGGATTTAGGCCCAGAATGTCAGCAGTGCAAGCTCAGTGTTCTGACACGGGAATCAGCCAAAATTCTCTCGCTTAATTGTCTCAACGGATTCTCACCAGATAAAACCTAGGTATGAGCGCAGCCCTGCAATTGCAAGCTCACATCCCCCACGCTTCTATTCTGCCTTATTTTTTTTAAGAGAGCCCATCTGGAGGCTGAGTTCATCTACTCTCCCACTCTGAACCCAGACGTCTATGGAAGAGGTAGGACTAACGGCACTAAGCCTCACCGCACGTAACCTGCCGGTTTATTAACTGAAGTGTACTCATTCATCAAGGGGCGGGGGGGGGGGGGCAGTGCTTGATTGAAGAAACTTTCAAAGACCCCCACCGGGAGATCAAACCAGCGACGTCTGGTTGGCAAGTCCACAGGGCCCACCTTTACACCATGACAGCATCAAAACAAAGGTAAGCAACTGATGTTCCCACAAGCTTGTGTTTGTGAAGCGTTGCCACAACAACAACATTGCTTTACAAGCTGTGTGACTGCTGCCTGCTCTTGGAGAAACACAGTAACTTTGGCCGAGTTCCCTTACACTATTACAAAGACAAAGATCACCCTCATAGCCATCATGGCCTTTTTTTGGGGCAAGTGCTGTTAGCGAGCACCTATGAAGGCCGGCGCGGCACACGAGGGGGTGGCTTGTCCAGCGCCACGCCCGGCCGTCTTAAGTCTCACCAATGTTGATGTTTATACACCGCATGAGGTACTTATTTAGGGCGGAGTCGACCTAAGAGAGGCCCAGAACCGGTTCAGATAATCGTCGCTGGTGTTGGCCGTGAGCGGCAATTGAATTCGGGTCACCGCTACGCTACCGCTGCCCAATCGTACAAAAAGACAACAATCCCCCCGGATGGCCTTAACAGAGTCTTAAGGGTCAAGCGCTGTCAGCGAGCACCTATGAAGGCCCGCCATGAATACACTCACACACACACGCGCGCTCTCTCACCTCGACTACCACTAAACACGCGCGCACGTGCGCACACTGCCCACACACCTCGTGGGCATAGGGGGGGGGGGTGGAATTAATATTTGAGAGAGAATGTGAATGTGGTCATTTTCAGGCCTCTCCGCATCCACAACCACAGGACAACTCCGCTAACTGCTCAATGTTTCCGCTCCCCTGTGACAGTTGCTATGTATACACTCACTAAAATAATATCAACTACTTATTCAATATAGAAGTGTGTGTGTGTGGTTTTTTTTCGTTTTCTCAGTAGCTTTGCTTGAAACTTCAATGCTGTCATTTCCCTCTGCCCATAAAGTATGCGTGGAGTCTGAGCAATTATCCCCACGCGTCACTGGGTCTATATGGTTCGTCTGGTTTCCTTTCGCAAGCAAAGCTACCCACTAATACATTGGCCAAACATCCAAATGCAGGATTCTCCTGCAAAGGAACTTTGAGACTAAAGCTTTACGAGTAAATTATTATATCACATATCGGTCAGCGGGGATCGGTGGCGCTGTGTTTATCGCGCTGAGCTATGAACCAGGAGAACTGCGTTCAATTCCTGGCCACAAATAAACCTAGGTGGTGAGTGATGTCTGAACCATTCCTTGGCTGTCTCACTTCCCACCCCCAACTTCACAAAACCAAACTGCCCAGTGTGGTGAAGTATGGTCTAAACAACCCCTGTGACGACACGGAGTGGGGAAATTTGAATCCAGCAGTGGACTGACACTGGGATGCAATTTTTAGTTGTATAACGTCTATCACAATTATTTTCGTTGGCAATTACCCACAAACACAAAGACGCCATGTTTCGTCGGCTGGGTAATGTATTTTTAAACACACAATTCTATTATTATCCAACATGAAACACGTCTTGAGCTGATCAGCCAATTACTAGTAAAATAAACATGCAGCTGGTCCCGATAGCGATCAGTTGTAATGCAACTCAATGGTGTGTGGTAACTTGAATGTTATGCTTTAACACTTTGAACATTAATCAAGTTCTCCGTGCCTGCATTAACGTTGTTTTGTCAGTTGTCCACGTCTGATCCGTGGTGTCATAGCAGGCAATATACACCGATTTAAAAACTTTCTTCCTCGGCCAAACACTGGAATGTTTCTTTTCATGATTAAATTAACATTTTCAAAAAGGTAATTCAACCTACTCGTGATTCCACCTTTATTTAATCATTTTGATCATGGTCCAGTTCACAATAATTGTCCCAGACATACATGCTCTGCTGTGTTTCCCAGTGAGTCCCTTTCAACAAATTATATTTGTTCAGTAAATTACACTTGACTTTGGTTTTGCTCACATTTATATCTTCAGGCCTCTCCGCGGCATTTTTTTTTTTCAAATAAAGTTTTCATAACGTATCCTGAAAGTACGTGATGTTGCTCATTAGGGCTGTCATCAGCAAATCTGAGGGAATAAATACTTTCTCTATCTATGTTTATGTCTTTATGTCTCGAATCCTCAAACAAAAAAACCCCAACACATTTTCCAATCGCGTTATCTATTACTCAAGATGTATTATGAGACCGCAGATTAAAATGCGTGGCCGAGCGCTGGGAATTCAGTGGAAAAGATGAAGCGTTTGCGACCAAAGGACACAAACGCTTGAGCGATCTTCAACAGAAGCGTGAGAACAGAATTGTTGGACGCAATCACAGCCGAGATGCTGCCAAACTCCCGGGGCTCCCCGAGGCATCGAGGAGCCGCACGTCGCCAACGGCTCTGGCGGACTCGTGGAGATTTTGAGGGACGAGAAGTTATACGATGATGAATAAATACATCGAACAGTCCTACCTACTCCCAAGTATGTGTGAGTGCGTATGCGTTTAGCAGCCTAGATCAAAGTGTTATCCAATGATGATACGTACTTAGTAACGTAGGACACCATTATAGACACTAATGTACTTTGCTTTGGGGGTAAAGAACACGCTCACCACAACCAAGGTGAGCGTGTGTTAAATGTGTGCCGTGCCGGCCTTCATAGGTGCTACTCGTTAACAGCACTTGCCCCAACAGTCTGTTAAGACTATACGATGGGGGGGGGGGGACTTTTGTCTTTGTGTGAAATGTATCTCCGTGGATCTCCCATCTACTGTGTAAATGCAGCCCACAGAGCTGGGCTTCGTCAAATTAAACGAAAAACCACACACTCACACGACGGTTGTGTTTACGTAGTCAACGGTGACATGGGGCTGAGGCCACGAGACCATTGCCCATGTTTGACGGGGAGCCCAGACCTCGCACCAGTGCCACTCGCAGCGCTCAGACGCAAGCCATGGCCGTTATCCCCTCCGGAGACACCCGGCCATCTGCGGCATCGCTTCTTATCGATAGAAATTCTGGAGCAAAGAGGTGCGTGTCAACATTGAACGAGCTCTCCGAGATTGTCTCGAGGCGAGGTACCGTGACCCATCTATCACACTTAGGCGCCCGCGCCAGAGGTCCCGGAGGCTCCAGACTTCACCCACGTGGCGGTCACGATATCGGTGGGCTGTGTTGTTGGTGCCTCGAACGTCCAGCCGCTCTCGCTGCGACATATTCTCATGAATGTCTATCGCCGCATCGACGCCCAAACGTCCGCACTCTGCACGTGCATAAATGAACCCCGCCTTTCGACTGCCGCCCTCGAAATTGCATTTTAAACTAGCCGCAAAATTCGCTTTGTTTGCTTTGGGGTTGGCACTGCACAGTGTTGCATGGGCGAGCACTTCAAACGAGCGTGGAGAGAATGAGCGAGAGAGAGAGAAGAGAGCGCATTGCGGATGGAGACCAAACAAAGCACAAAGGAATGATCGTTCCGCTTCACTCAGGCTGAAACACAATAAATTTACCATGTCTCCCTTTGGACCAGGCTCCCCCTGAAAAAAAAAACACACAGACACAAATCACGAATCAGCACCGAATAATCAAATGGAAATCTTCAAATTAAACAGGCTGCTTAGAAATGGCCTGACCTGAAGTAGCACGGCTGTGTGAGGAAGTGAAATATTAACAGAAATCAAAACCCATGGTGCACCCACGCGCGCGCGCACACACGCATGCTGAAGACACACTTTAGCGTATCAGTGCGAATTAGTGGTTTTAAACTCACTGGCTTTCCATCCAGTCCGATAGGGCCCTGGGGAGGAGCAGAGAAAGCAATACAAACATCAGACGTCCATCGTCGGTAAGCCGATGCTTGCAATCGGATCGCGTGCTTACACGGATGCCGGGCTGCGTTGTCTGCGGAATAGAAAACGCAGGCATTTTTTTGCGAGTCCCCACGGTCCATTTGGGATGGGAAAGTTGTCAAATCGGAGGCCTGTTTGATTTTTAATGAGCGCTTTCCCGCGAAAGACGCAGACGTTCGTTTAGCCTCGCAGAGTTCAGATGACAAAGTGTTGTTGGCGAGCGCCTATTCACATCAGCCGTGGTATCCACGCAGACCGTGCAGCCAGGACGGGTTCAGATCACACCTGCCACTGACGACGATGTATATGGTCAGGGGTCAGAGAACTGGATCGGCACCGCTGAGATTCTGGGATTGAAGCCAGGGTAGGCACCCGCGATTAGACCGGATTCTGAGGTATGATGAGCTGCTGGTCTCGGCGTGGTCATCCAACTCGTTACAGACACACACACACGAAACAACCCCCCCCCCCCCACCGTAAATAAACTTGACTCTTCAATTAATTTGGCAAAGTTCCAGTTCCGAGAATTACTAAAATAATATGTTCGAGGAATATCTCGATATCTCAATGGGACCGCGGACGTCATCGTTCTGGAATGTTCACCACAGCGAGGAGTGAAGAGGCGAGCGTATTCATTTAACGAAACGCGACTTCACGCTGAGCGTTAATAGCACTGTCGCCGAGCGCCCGACCTCCGCGAATAAGGAGGACAGAACGTGAGGGTGTCGTTGAATGGTGCGGGCCGCAATACGTTGTAATACGGTTTGGGGTTTGTTTTTTTTCTGGAAGATTTGCTGGTTTAAGCCAGGGATGTCTCTGTTGCGCGTCGTCGCTTCAAGATGTTTCTCTGTTCATGTTTTTGTTTGTTGCGGTTGCACCCAACTCAAGAGCCGCATGGCTCACAGGGCTACACCTAATTAAATGAAAACTTGAAACTTGAAAACTGGTACTGGGTCACATGCGAAGTCTGTAAGCGGCGTATTTCAGAATTGCACGTACCGTACTAATATACCAAACGAGCCCACTATTGTATAACAACATGCATAGGTAGGCCGAGTCACCTTAATCATGAATGAAGCTGTTTGCTATGCGCAGAAACTAAAACGAATGTCAATCAATGAGTACCATAACCAACGAAAATTATTTTATAATAGAAGATAATTATCAGAACTATCACTCAAGTCAGACTTGCATGAAAAAAATGCGAACTGGAACTAAATTTCTGGACAGAGAGAATAATCTGAATTGAACTCGACTAAACACCGGCGGATATAACGTTAACTTGAAATGATCTCAGTAGACGTTCTGTAATATATCACGTTCCGCTGTTCGTTCTCGAGCAAAAGGTGGTCGGATCATCTTGAATCTCCCCGAGCACTCCCACACATCGCCTCTCCTCATGCAGCTGCGGCGGCTTCCCGTCTAATATCGTTGCCTTTTCCAAATTCCTCACCCGAGTTACCAAGGTCTCCGTGCCCTCGCACCAACGAATAATCTCTCTTCCGATTTAAAGCTTTCGTGACTGCAGGGATTCATCATCTTGGTTCTTTCGGTAAAGTCACCACGTAGAAGGGAAACAATGAAATAATAAAAATAAAAACATAATAAAATATTTTATTATGTTTTTATTTTTTATAATTAAATAATACAAATTAAAACATAACATATTTTATAAAAAAATAATAAAAAAATAAAAACATAATAAAGTATTTTATTACGCTTTATTTTTATTATTTTATTATTTCCATTCTACGTGACTTTACCGAAAGAACCAAGAAGATGAATCTCTCTTCCCTCATCTCGTTCTACGCTCCGTCTCGTCCTCTCCGTTCACAGTCCCCGTTGTCTCTCTCTGTCCATTCCCCCTTCCTGCTTGTGCCCAATCACGATTATAGCTCCCTTGCACTGGAACAAGCTGCCCCTACTCGTCAAACAATCAAACTCACCGTCTACGTGTCATTTTCCCATTAAAACACTCGCTGATTTTGCCTCGCTTACCTCAACTCCACTTCCCCCTCCCTTCCTCATCACCAACAATCATCATCGCACTAGCTCATCGTCATCAACCGCTCATCGTCATCAACCGCTCATCGTCATCAACCGCTCATCGTCATCAACCGCTCATCGTCACTCTCATCATCGTTGATGTCACGCATCATCATGCTCACCCGCTGCCGTCCTTCTCGCCAACTCATCTCATCACGCGTCTGTTATACGAATCGCTAATTCTTTGTGCTGCGCCTTTACCGAGGCGCTATATGCATTCGAATAAGATAAGATGATGCGATGATGCACTGGTTTTAAAGATAAACACGTGAAAAAATAATTGAACGTATTTTGGGCAGTTTGGGCTGTAACCCAGTCCACTAATCAGCGATTGCCACCCTGGTATAATTGTGAGCAGACTGGACTAGCAATGCAGAGGTCACCGGATCATTTTCCCAGCGCAAGTCTGCAAAACGATGGTGCAAGCCGATTAAAATCAGCCCCCCTCCGCCTCTGTCGAGCCAGCAGCATGAATGGGTACACCAGAGTTAGCCGATCAGCAGGTCACATGTGGTGGTGTAAAGTGTGGGTCCTCATCTCTTCATCCAAAGACGTCTGGCCAGCATCGAAGAATTGACCAAATACCATAAATTCCATATTGCTATGGTGGGGACCAATTTACCTACTGTTGACCTCTTGACAGTTGACCTATGGGAGAAGTCAACATTGATTTATGAGGGATTGATGGGCTGAGTATACACCGAACCGGTTAGTTTGACACGTGGTATTTTGATTATAAACCATTTTCTCCTGCGACAGAGCCACCTGGCCATATGCAATTTACATAAAAAATGATGTTGTCTTGAATAAGTTAAGCTTCATAGTAAAATAAACTCATAATTAATTCCCCCCCCAACCAGCCTACACAATGTCTAAAGATAGATTTAAAAAAATAAACATAAAGACAAAGAATGGAATAAGAGGGCTTTTCTGCATAACTGCTGCTGGTATTAAATTTAAAACACGCAAAGTGCACCTAACCAAAAAAATACAACTAAATAAATAAAACACTTAACGCAGAATAAATTTCTCAGCCCTTGGCACCACTTTGCTTTAACAATGAGCACTTTTACACCAAACACAAAACAGCCACTCAACCACTGCCAGCCGAATGAAAACCTGCGGGCAGTGCGGTAGGTAGAGGCTGCACTGAATCACCCTCTTTGATTTTTTTTTTAAATCACCAACATTAATCTCCTTCACATTGAGCCTAACTAAAATGAGCTGTGGAAGCATACAAATGTCTCCTTAACCAAACACAGCGTGGTAGAGTTGTTGCTCGCATCCTTTGGCTGCTCTGAATCAGTGGAGTAACTCCACATTCATGTGACGGGGACCAGTTTCTCCAAAGGACAAACGCTGATAACCTCCCACCAAGATGTAAGCATGCTACTCACCCTGATTAAGGTTTATGGGGAGGCTCTCACGTGGGATTTTTTTTTTACTTTGTAACCTTCTTGCGCTCTACCACAGCGAGATTGGGCCGGATGTAAAAACGATTAAATTTAAAACACCGCCCCACAAATGTTTTATGCCGCAGGAAGGGAACCAGGTTCCGCGTAAGCGAGGGAGCTGCTGGGCGAGTAACTTCTGTGCTCCTCGCTCTTTGAAGACCGTTTGGAAGGCAGGCGGGCCACCCAGATTGACAATCAACCCCCACTTCGCCATGGCGATTCTAATTACAGAAAACCTCTCAAACCCTATTTTGCCCCTCCGCGTCCACATTACTCAAGCGCAGAGCAAGCCGGAGGTGGGGGGAGGGGCGGCGGCGTATTATGAGCACATTATATTAGGTAAAGGTGGTAAAGGCGCAGCCCTGCAATTGCGACCGCACGCCAATGCCTGCGGAAGGGCGCCAAATCAAGGCAGCTCTCTAGAGGCCTTGGAGAGGGCACTTCGCCTACTGTCCCATACTGGCCAAACATCTTTGAAGTCATGGGAGCACCCACAATTTCCTCCCACCGCACACGCGCCACTCCGCTGTTGTGCACCCATGTCGACTGCTGTTTGTCGGAACGGCCACCACTACAGGGAGCTTCAGAGACCCCCCCCCCCTATTCCCCCTCCCCCCCCCCCAAAAAGGGGTATGTTGGCCCACTCTTCCGCACTGGCCAGCCGACTTGGAATAGGTGGGGGGTGCCCACACTTTACCCCACCACACGTGACCTGAAGATCGACAAACTGTTGTGTAACCATTTAGACTGCTGAGTGGACAGAGCCCTGGGGGGAGGGGGGGGCTTGGCGGGGGGGGGGTGGTAACTTAAGAAACTTGCGCCACCGTTTCAACCGCCGCGCCCGGAGATCGAACCAAACCCAAGCGGTGGCCTCTGCCGTTGCGAGTTCCAGCGTGGGAACCGTTCCACCATGGCAGCTCCCGTCGGGGGCAATGTAATGAGCCTTAGCTGCGTTATCATTGCCAGGCAGCGGCGGGGGGGGGGGGTGACACGTGCTTTTTTTCAGAGCCCCAACGCCGGCTTGCTCCCAGCTTGTATCGATTAGCTGCGTCAGGTGAAGGGGGCTGCTGGTTCACGGTCAGTCGCTGGGACGTGAACGAGTTGAGGTGGTACTCTGTGGTTCTTTCGGTGAAGTAACGTAGAAAGAAAGTAAATTAAATAATAGGATACGACGTTTCGATTGCAACACAAGCAGTCGTCATCAGGTAGAACTAAATTTGAGAGAGAGACAAAACACAGACACGGAGAAAAAGACAAAGATCCCCCATATAGCCTTAACAGACTGTAGGGGCAAGTGCTATTAGCGAGCACCTATGAAAGCCAGAACGGTACACGAGGGGGTGGGTGGCCAGCACCACGCCCGACCGCCTTTGTCTCCCTAGTCGCGATGCTTACACACCGCACCAGGTACTCATTTGAGGCTAAGTCGACTTAGGGGAGGCTCGGGA